AGCCTCATTGAAAACCTACGTGGCTAATTGCTCTCTATCATGCCTGAATTATTTTAAAGACGTTTTTTTAACAAAATAAACACCGCTTGAAAATTATTTCAACTTGAAGAATGTTATTATAACAATAAGCAGCGTTGCCTGTCTTAATCAGCTGTTTTTAAGTCGATTGCAATCAGTACAAAATTTTTCTCCCACAAGTCACATTAATTCTCTACCGACAAAATTTTGACCAATTTATACCGTAAAACATTTCTCAAATTGTGCTGTCGACCATTCTCAAATAAACAATTACATAAACGCAGTATATAAAAATTTATATAACTTTGTTCACAAATAATTATCATCATTAAAACAAGTAAATAAGTGAAATTTTGACCACAAGTTTAATCGGTCCTCTCCCTCACTCGTTATTTTGTATCCCTCGCATGCTATTAATATTTCTCTCAAGTGGATGTGGGTAATCTTTTTGTGCGAAAGCTGGACGAAAACTGTCATGAAACTGAAAACTTCGCTGCGCTCACAATTATAACTTTTGCAATGGCAGCGATAACGACCACACTACCGTGCACCGACTGCTCGGAACATGGTTGAATTAATGTATGAATTGTGTATATTATTTCAACCGTCAGTTGAATTAATGTATGAATTGTGTGTATTATTTCAACCGTCAGTTGAACTAATGTATGAATAGTGTGTATTACTTCAACCATCAGTTGAATTACCGTATGAATAGTGTGTCTTATTTCAACCATCAGTTGAATTAATGTATGAATAGTGTGTCTTATTTCAACTGCCAGTTGAATTAATGTATGAATAGTGTGTCTTATTTCAACCGCCAGTTGAATTAATGTATGAATTGTGTGTATTATTTCACCCGTTAGTTGAATTAATGTATGAATTGTGTGTATTACTTCAACCGCCAGTTGAATTAATGTATGTATTGCGTGTATTATTTCAACCGTCAGCTGAATGAATGTATGTGTTGCGTGTATTATTTCAACCGTCAGTTGAACTAATGTATGAATAGTGGGTATTATTTCAACTATTAATTAAACTTATATATGTATTGTCTGTATTATTTCAACCATTAGTTGAACCCGTGTGTGCGCTCCGTGTGTATTAGTTCGGCCGCTGTATGGCAGATTTAGGCTGGTTTTGTGATAGGATGTTGAAAATCCAACAAATCTGCATTAAAATGGGTTTTTGCTAGATGAATGTGTACTAAGTAGTCAGTTTATTCAGTTTAACACAATGACTCCGATTGCTTCATCTTGTACTATTATTTCATGTTTTGTACTGTTTTTAAAGAGGGTTGCCAGACGGTCCTTTTTTCCGGACAAATTCCGTGATTTAGTTTTTCTCGATTGTGTTGGCCGGCTAAAATTTATGATAGGGGTACTTCCTAATTAAATTTTCAAGTACTGCAAAAAGAAAATAAATGAAATTTTTATAGCGAAACCTACAAATAAACTACTATATATTGAGTTATCGGCCTTTTTTGGCCTCTTTTTGTTCTCGGATTTGGTCGAGTTTAGGCAACCTGAATTATGTACCACTACGTCCTGGAGAAATACATTTCGTGGTACGCATATGTACCATTTCGGAGTCAACGTGTTAAGTTTCAAGTTCAAGTTTATGCGCTAGTTTTACCTTAAATTGTAAGTTTTAGTTTCAACACAAGCAGAGGCAAAAGTTTTTTGTGTAAGTGTAAGTTCATGTAAAGTTTAAAAAAGTTGAGATTCAAGTTTCAGTTCAACATCTAAACCGAAATGCAGCGATTTATTATTCATATCAAGACATTTGGATAAGATAGTCATCATTCTTCATCTTCTTTTTCCCATGCTTTTACCTTTTCTCCCGAGCTAAATGAAGTTTTAAAATTAACCATCCATATGTCTTATCAGCTGACTCTCCAAACCAAAAGTTTTCCTGCCTTGACGAACTCAGTAGTAATTCGTTCATTGGCTGAGATCATATATGCCGAACCTCAAGTAATTTGGTAAGAATATGTTTTCAATAATTTGTTATAGTTCATATAATTAAAATATGAATATCTAGTTACTATATACGATAACTTTCTAGTGCTCTCTACATTTATTTTAATTTTTTTATACATTTCAAAAACATGATTGTGATGATTGTTGATTTATACATAAATCAACACGGAAACGGCTCATTCGTCTACTGTTTTTTACGAACATAAAAGAAAGTACACCAATTAAGTATTCTTTGCATGAAGGAAACTCGTATGAAATCATTTTTGCGAATGATCAATTTGTAATAGATTACTAATACTCATGCAATTACAATTTAGACAACTTCAAAAATCATTGAATGTACTGGATTCAAACCTTCACGAACAGTGATTATAAACCACAATTTGCGGTAAGTATTATCTAAATACAATAGATGGCTCTAAACCATATCATGTGGGTTAGTCTTGAAGCCTAAAAAATTTCAGCTCATGAAATAAAAAATTGTCTCAAGTTCTTCCAAGAAAGTCAAAAATTCCAGGATTTATGTCTTGAGAAAAACTTCGGCTCCATCCGAAGATGTATCGAAAATTTATTCAAGCCCAACTTGTTGTGGAAATTTTAGCTGCTAAACAAGCCTCGGTATTGAACGAGCGTACCTCCAATATTTGACAATCGCTTACTTAGGCAAACAAAAACCTTTTCACAGCGCCCAGTGACTGCAAAAAATGAAGTGTGTGGTCACCGCACAGATTTTAATATATTCTTTGAACCTAAAATTTTCTCTGATATAATCCGGTGCCTACATTGCAGGCGTCTTGCTCAGAATAAAAATTTTAACTGCTGTATAGCGAGTCTTTTTAGCGCATTTTCTCATTTATGGAAAAAATGCACTATTGTGCTCGCCATGTCCTTCCGTCTGTCTGTCTGTCCGTCCGTCTGTCCGTGACCTCAAGTTATCGTCGACGAGAAAATGCGCTCTCTGTCACTCACTGCAGTGAGTACTGAGTTATATTTTTTATTGTTATGTTTTGTTAGTTAAATTTGCATCATTTAATCATATTTGGTTGAAGTTCTAGCGATTTATGTTTCGTCAAGAAATGGACTGAGTAGTTAAATTTATGTTGTAATTTCCGTAGACCGGATACAACGATATCTGTTCAAAGAAATTAATCTTAAAACTTCTGCGTCTGCATCTTGCATTATTCTATAACCCATTTTATTTTGTTATGAAGTCCGACTATATAAAGCAATAAGACGAATATCATTTTACTACGGTTAATCCTGCGTTTTTCAATCTAACAAGGCAAAAAATAATTAAATAATTTTCTATCTAAGACAATGAAAGAACAAGTCTATACATAAATTTTCTGACAACGTAGATATAGATATGCTTCTTCTATATATTGTTTTAGTAACAAAGATATACTCTAAATTTCGATAGCATATATTAATAGTTATATCATTTCCCGAAACTGTACAATATTCTTTACCTGATCTTCTCACAAGTCCCACTAAGTCTCAAATAATGGGACAATTTCCAGGAGGCCGCGGCTCTTGAATACGAGTTTCATCTGTTCGACTAGATTTGTCTGTCCCCTCTTCTTCTGCCCTCTCCAAAATCTTCATAACTCTTCTGTTGCAATTAAATCATGTTGGTGGAAATAACGAATTTGCAACAATAAATGTTGCATCGTTATGAAGGTAATTACAGTGCTCGAGTATCAGATGAAGCTTTGAGGCTAGTCCCTGTTAATGAGCATCGCATCAAGCACAGCAGCAGCTTGTGCGAGAAAACTTTACGGTCTTTTGTTCCGCAGGCGATACTGATACTTTATAATGATAATAATAATAAAAATGAAATCAATAAAACGATGAACAAATGCACTTTAATATTATTAAAAATAATGATGATCCCTCTAATAATAGCAATGATAAATAATAATGATAATATTAATTCTAATAATAATAATAATAATAATAATGATAATAACAATAGTAATACGATAATAAAATTATAAATGCATGAGTTTTGCTATAAGACACTAATAAGCGAACAAATTTTTTACATTTAATACATTAGAATTAAATAGACCCTGAATGTTCCAAAATGACCGACAGTACAACTGAGAAAAAAACTCGCATTCTTTGCAGGCTGTCAAGCAGACAAAGGCTGGCACTTACGTAAGAATTTCCGCATCCAAACTCAATTTGGATTGTTTTTCGCTTCCGTGACGACCAACGAGCCACAAAAAAAAAGTTTGCTCGAATTGGTTTCTCAGCGCAGTACAGGATTCGGCGCAGGTCTCGCCTCGAAAAATATTTTTTACGCGCATTTTAATGAACGAAAATTCAAAGGCAATTTGAGATAAAGTTGTTATTTTTTTCATTATTTATAAAACCAAGGTTATGTTTTAATGACAGGACAGGCTTCAATGATATTTTAGAACTTGCTGAGGGTCATAATTTAAAATGAGCGTTGGTAAAATGTACTTTGCGCTGAATTATTATGTGAGTGGGGGAAGAAGTTAAATTTTCAGTAGAATGGGACGTTAAAACTATATTAATTAGCAACATCCTAGCTCGAACAACGCATATCTCAGGATTAAGAAAAGTTAGTTGGGAATTTATATCCCACCTACAGAGAACGGTAAATTTGTCAATATTAGATATTTCATTCGTCGAATCTTTATGTTCCAGATATCTCGATCTGATTGCTGTAAGTGCAGTCAGATGAACATGGCATCTGCCTGTCGTACTCTTGCAACTGCCTTCATGACGTACCAAAAACTGGTCATAAGAACGAGTAAACCTTGGCTTACGGTCTTATTTTTTGGCGCTACCCTTTTTTGGATCGGATTTCTTTACATTTATCGGGTTAGTTTGCTCAAAAAAAGTAGGAATAATTGATTTCTGATATGCACGATGAAATCAAGTAATAGCGGCCTTAACTTCTAAGGCATGATGAACTGGTGACATTTGCATAGATAAATGCCTTGAGTGAAATAAGTATGATTATTTTGTCCCATGCCTGGATTTGGTCAGGCCTGCGCCTTGGTATGGTCAGGTGTGCGCCTTGATATGGCCAGGCCTGCGCCTGGATATGGTCAGGCCGGCGCCTTGGTATGGTCAGGCCTGAGCCTGGATATGGTCAGGCCTGCGCCTGGATATGGTCAGGCCGGCGCCTTGGTATGTTCAGGCCTTGGCCTGGATATGGTCAGGCCTGCGCCTGGATATGGTCAGGCCGGCGCCTTGGTATGGTCAGGCCTGAGCCTGGATATGGTCAGGCCTGCGCCTGGATATGGTCAGGCCGGCGCCTTGGTATGGTCAGGCCTGAGCCTGGATATGGTCAGGCCTGCGCCTGGATATGGTCAGGCCGGCGCCTTGGTATGGTCAGGCCTGAGCCTGGATATGGTCAGGCCTGCGCCTGGATATGGTCAGGCCGGCGCCTGGATATGGTCTGGCCTGCGCCTGGATATGGTCAGCCTGAGCCTGGATATAGTCAGGCCTGCGCCTGGATATGGTCAGGCCTGAGCCTGGATATGGTCAGGCCTGCGCCTTGATATGGTCAGGCCTGCGCCTGGATATGGTCAGGCCTGCGCCTTGATATGGTCTTTTGGTGCACGTTCTGGCTATTCAGGCAGAAAATTAAAGAGCACCGGAGAAGAGCATTTCCTACGAGATCCTCTGCTTAACTTAAATGGATCGATCTATATTTTTTTGTCTCGTAGTCACTCAATTTATTTTAAGATTCAATATGCCTGATATTTTTCAAGCTTAAGATTATTGTTTTAGTTTTTTGAAACATTCACAAAGTATACACAAACTCATTTAAAGTTTCGATAAGACATTTATTTATTTAAATTGTCACAGAAGTAATAGAGACTGATTATGAAATCTGAGGATTTCTAAAATAGTCAAATCACAACCTGATAATTAAACGAATAATAAAAAATAAATAAATTATCTTCCTCAATTAGTACACATAGCAGCCGATCTCTCATCGTTGATTGATGGGTTTAGTTTGAAAAGCCGTCAGGGATTGGCTGACGGAGTTAAGAACGCAAGAACGCGTTATTATTTTCGATAATACGGCTGCAGGTTTTAAATCTTGACGAAAAAACGTGATTTTGACACGGATAGCAAGTTCAATTGTGCGAACTGCCCTGCGGCACTCGCTCAGCAAGAATAAATTCTTTAGTCACATAGAAGGAAATAGTAAGTACGAGCAATAATGAAATGTTTCATGGTTACGATGGCAAATTGTCGTGTTCGAGTATCTGATAAATCATGGTGGCAAGTCCGCGTTAGTCGGCACTGAATTTGAGCACAATATCGAGCATCTCTAACAGATCTCCAAATGTATCGAATAAATGAGTTTTTCCGATGACGATATTGATGATAAGAAAAATAAAACGAATGATGATATGAATAACTTATTTTTTGTTTAAAATTGTTAAGCAACTATTGTATCAAGCGGGTGTTCGTATTTTAGCTTTGTAACAACCAACAACAAGTATGTGAGTAGGTTAATATTTTGTTTAAATATTTTAAGTGAATATTAGAATCAATTTCATGTCGTCTAAAGTTTATGTATAACTGGAATCTACTTCAAATGTTTGAAGTGCATAAATGTTTATATGGTTTACCTTGTGCTGTATCAAAAAATGAGGAAGATCTGACAAGAAACCAACCAAGTTTTGTACAGTTCCTCGCACAAATATAGTATCAGAACGCAACAATAACATCGGTGGCGTAGATTTCCATGNATCTGTCTCTTATACACATCTAGATGTGTATAAGAGACAGGTGCTACATGGTCTGTATCAAAGAGTATACGTGCTACATGGTCTGCATCAAAGAGTATGCGTGCTACATGGTCTGCATCAAAGAGTATGCGTGCTACATGGTCTGCATCAAAGAGTATGCGCGCTACATGGTCTGCAGCAAAGAGTATACGTGCTACATGGTCTGCAGCAAAGAGTATACGTGCTACATGGTCTGCAGCAACGAGTATGCGCGCTACATGGTCTGCAGAAAAGAGTATACGTGCTACATGGTCTGCAGCAAAGAGTATACGTGCTACATGGTCTGCAGCAACGAGTATGCGCGCTACATGGTCTGCAGCAAAGAGTATGCGTGCTACATGATATGTATCAAAGAGTATACGTGCTACATGGTCTGTATCAAAGAGTATACGTGCATATAGTTCATAAAAATTATATCTGTAGTATTACAATTGAGCATTTTATGTTTCATTTAAGAGTGAATTATGTTACGAACAATTGATTTATTTCAGCTGGAATACAACGTGTGCTGTATTGTTTGAAACTCATACATCAAATTAAACAATAATGTCGTCGCTAATTTTCGGCCGCCAAATGTTTCTTGACTCGTATTTCGCATCAAGAATTTAAGTGATGAACGCATTTAAAATATGGTATGGTTGAGTAATGTCCATAAATATACGTGTCCCTCCAAATAATATTAATATAATACTCGCTCAAGGTAATGATCAGTACCATAAGCACTCTAATTCAATCATGTTTATTATAATACATTCCGTTCATTCAACATCACATTTTGCAATAAAATTTATGAAATAAAATACAAATCCCTATACAATAGTGCCGCGCAAGATTTTTCCGCTTCGTATCCTATAAAATGAAATGTTTTGATTGTGAGCTGCCCTTCCATCACGTTCAGCTGCCAGTCACTCTGAACACGATGAAAAATTCGTTACAAAATAATTTTATTGAAAGTCAACACGCTCTTGAAATATTTAATCAGCCTCGGTTAAAAAATCTTGATTTCTTAATCACTTGGCAGCGTCCAACAGTTAAATTTCAGCAGATCGTTTTATAAAAATCTTTTCGTTAATAGTGATCTGTCAGGCCGAGCTCTATTGTGTCACTCAGTTTCATGCAAGTGTTAAATATTCAGAACTTATAAAACAAAGATATTCAACGGTAGTTCAAACAACAGGCAATAATTCACGAGCTTGTATATTATTGACAGTAAAGTTACGTGTCGCCTCCCGATTTATATACTAGGAAGTCATAGATAATATTCTAACGTAACGAATTATGAAGTTGATTCAGAATTCAAATATAATATCAAAAATTGACCAATAAACAACTGGCTTACAATTTAGCAATTTATTACTGAAGATTTCATATTGTTTGACGAGTAATAAATGAGATCGTGAAAAACGAAACAAATCTGTAGCGATTTGTCAAAGGGTGTTTTTAACCCTTGAATAAACGACCAATTTTTTGCGAGTGCAAAATACCACCCTGCCTTCAATGCACATCGCTTAAATTTATTCTATGAAAAAATTTAAAAGGCAACATGAACATCCGTATGGTCATAGCGCAGCCTAAAATTAATGCGCTAAAGTTAAAGGCAATAAATTTGTCCAATCGGACGAGTGAGCTTCATACATAAAATAGCGCAGTTTTTAGAAACAATAGCGGGACGCTTAATGGTTAACAATAAATTTAAAAAAACTATCTTCATCTCTGAAGTATATTGAGTTTTTATAGCTGATAACAAGTCTGACATGCCACGGCTTCATTATTTTGTGAGCTGTGCATCATGAGTCTGAGGTACGTAACGAGCCCATTAATAACGCAGGTACAAATTATATGTAATTAGCGAGCTAAAATCCTGAACTCCCTTGTTATTTTAAATGATTTCCGTGAAATTATGTTTGGCTCGTTAACACAATTATAAACACTGACAATTTTAAGGGAAAATAATGTAAGCTCAGCTAATTATAAATACCCTTATTTCATCTATACCAGTTTAACTACGTGCGTGGTGCGAGGTTTTCTCCTTTGAAAAGTTAATTAGATGTTACTTTTTTCGTTATCAAGTTTTCGTATATCGCTATTATGGAAGAGAACTCAGAAATGATTTACAGCGAACTGTCATCACGGTTATTTTGTGAAGAAATAACAAGCAAGCAGAAAAAAGAATATATATCTGTAGGTGTAGTGTGTGCAGTGAAATATGTTCATTTCATTTCTGTTCAGTGACTATAACAATATCACGTTCGTGGGATTTGTCTTCTCCGAATTATGTAATGAACAAAAAACGGCTGAAAATGAACTTGCATCTCAACCAAAAAATCGAAATTTATATTCTATCAAACACTGCGTAATGCTATTCTAGATTCCATGGATTTGGAACTTTCATCATTTCACTAATAACGAGTGAAAGACAATCAACCGATGACGGTCCTATAACCGACCTAGATCGCTACCGAACTTGAGAAATACGTTTACTTTACACCTGCGTAGTGACCGAGATAATTTCAGGTATGTTGGCATAATCGTTTATGAATAAGCTAATTAAACGATAACGCCGCCAACCACTTTGGATCACAACCGAACTTGAGAAATATGTTAATTTTACAACGGTTTAGTGACTGTAAAATTATCAGGTATGTGGGTTTAGTCGTTGTAGCTAGCAGGAGAATACTTTACTTTTATATTGCTCCCGGGCCCTAACATACGAGAATTACTTTAACACTGTGAGGAAATAGTATACATTTGTTCATATTTCATAGTAACAATTTTTCCATTTTCATTTAGAGCTTTCCGTACTTTAGGTTTGGCAAACATTCGGTATTCATATTCATTCATGTTTTTGTTACGCGCTGGTAAGAACTACAGGGACACAACGCAATTGTACCTACAGATCTGTTTTATTGGATATATTGTGAATAATCAGTGTTTTATATGAAAGGAAACCTTTTCACGATCGTGTCGAGATGAAGTGGTAGAGAAGTGGTTCCCAAGCAACACGTTGACTCCGAAGTGGTACATATGTGTACCACGAAAAGCATTTCTCCAGAACGTTGTGGTACATAATTCAGGGTTGCCAGATGGCCTAAAAAACGGCCAAGTCTGCGAACAATAAAGGTCTATAGCTCAATAGATACTGGTATATGTGTAGGTTCCGGTGTAAAAATTCAATTTTTTAAATTTAATTAGGAAGTAGCCCTGTCATAAATTTTAGCCAGCCAACACATTAAAAAAACTAAATCGCGGAATTTGCCCTGAAAAAATGACCGTCCGCCAACCCTGTTTCATAATAGTACAATTATTGAAATAATAGTAGAAGATGAAGCAATCGGATTCAACATGTTGAACAATTCAAGGAATATTCAGATGCCGAAATGTATACATATATATTTTTGAAATAATTCTAAGCCACGGCACAGTTTTATGAAATAAATGTAAATAGTTCAGCAAAAGAACATAAATTAGTCTGGTAGATCTGAATCACAAAAAAGTGGTAGCGACGATGGTAAAGCTGAGGCTGGGATATATATTCACAATCATCTGCTTGTTAAAAAATATAACTTGGTACTCACTGCAGTGCACTAGTGACAGAGAGCGCATTTTCTCGTCGACCAAAACGTGAAGACACGGACAGACAGACGGTCGGACAGACAGACGGACGGACGGACGAACGGACGGACATGACGTACACAATAGCGCCTTTTTCCATAAATGAGAAAATGC